GGTGCAAAGGCAAGCTTCAAGGTTGGCGGATTAATTTGGCCAGAAATATCTCTTTGTACTCAAATTTTCCATTTGTTTCCCCTCCCTCCTTCTCTCCTTCCCCTCTCCCTCTTTTTGTCTCTGTCCTTCTCCCTCTTCTCCACCCCCATCCGCATCTCTGCCCTTATCTCAGTCTCTGTCTCTATCTCTGTCTCTCCTACCCCCCCCCAGTCTTCCTTGCTTGTTATTGTTAATTTTAGGTTGAAGACCCTCGTGATTACAGGGTAGCTGCCACCACCAGCTAGGGCCAAAGACATTCTTGTTTGTGTTTCTTTCAAAGCCATGAAATTTAAGTCCTTCTCTTCATTGTGATTGGGCCAACTAAGACATTTATTCAGTATCTGGTACTTAGTGGACATTTGATAAATATGTGTGGATTGATTGTTCAGATTGCATCATTGTTAGAAGACAGATGGCTGTCTTTACACCGGCTCCACAGCTGTGCCAGTGTGCCAGAAATGGTGGGGGGAGGCTGAGTGGGCCGCTTTAACTCCTGTGAGATGAAAGTATATAAAACAGATAGCTGCTTAATTGATTTTCATGGGAAATGCTTATCTCCCATAATGAGACAACAAGTATGCTGTTTGGGAATATTAGAATCCCTGCAAAGTCTGAAAGGCAAAGCGAGATGAATACTCTTGAAGGACAATGATGCAGTGAGTGAAGCCTTTCCAGTGATCACAAAGGTCTCCCGTCTCCTGGTCAGTGTTTCTCTTCTCTGGATACAGAGTACCAATGTGGGACTTCTTGGACTTCGTTTCCGATCTTATGGAATGAGCACTGAAAGCCGAGAACTTATCTGCGGAAGATTTAGTAAAATCGACCATATGTTAACTTTGAGGAAATGATCAGTCAATTAACAATTCAAAACACATTCTCTGGCATTCTGTAGCTTGGGCACATGAAAATCATAAAATTTAGAATTTGGAATGCAAATTATAGTTTTCTTTTTTCTTTTGTAGTTTTCAATCTTAATTTATACTATCAGCATTAAATGATCACCTTCCCTCTTTATTCTGGATTTCTTCTTTATTAAGTTAATCAAACCATTTCATTTTATTCTTTGTTATTTTACATGTTGTCATGCTTTTCATAGAACTTTAGTTGCAAGAATACCACCACCACAGTCCTTCTCCATATATACATTTATATTTCCATATGTACATTTGTATTTATATATAAAAGTATACATTAACATTTTTTACCACAGACTTAGGAGATGATACAGTATACTGCAGAAAAAAAGATTTATAATTGAAACAAGTTTGTATGTGTATATACATAATTTATAAAATGTGTCTGTATTTACTACACATACAAATTAAATACATGTGTGTACATTTTAAGCCAACATAGGCTCATACAGTAATTCTACTTTTTTCTTAATCTTTTTAATCTAACCAAATCATGAACAATTTTTCATGTAAATAAATAGAAACATTCCTCATCATTTTTAGCAGCTTCATTTTGGATCTTGTATCTGTATTTTTTATGGTAAGCCTTTTCATATCCTTTTCTGATAGAAAGATATTAGAAAATCAACAAATAATAAAAATGCAGATTATAAGAATCAATCAAAATCCCTTTTAACTCTTTAATGCTTAAATGGATCTTCTTTATATCTCCTATAATAATTTATTTATTCTAATTTTTCCTCTTTCATGTTTTGTTTTTCTTTAATAGTGTTTACTTTTGCCTGCAGTTTTTATGGATCGAATCATAGGAAACTTTAGTAATTTCTTATTGATTGTAAAATATATGAGTTTTGTTGGATTTTTCCCTGTCCCTCTCTACTTCTGAGATCTTTACCTCAAAGCTAAACACAGAGTAAATAATATTACAGATTGGTAGCTACATGAAAACTCTCATAAACAATGTGATATGAATTTCTTTAAGCTCTTATTATAAATATAGGTTTATAACTGAAATCCCATTTCATGTCAAATATCAAAAGCAATACCAAAATTAAAAGTACAAATATATATACATTTATAAAGATTTATAAAGTATTTAAAATTAAGTGCTTATCGTGGCAGGTGCACCATTAAGTACTTATGAAAGGTGCACTTAGGTCGAAATCCTTTTAGGGCATTTCCTTCATGAACTAGTCTTGTTAAGGCTTTGTAAAATTATTAAGATGATGGATGATGTTTAGATTGAAGAGGCTTTCTCCTCTCCCTCCTCTTTTTTCTAAACTTTAGGAAGCATAGACACACTTTTTCTGAAATTATTTTATTTGTTTCCTTGTTTATTCATCCCAGTAGATTGCAAGCTCCTTGGGAACAGGGATAAGTACCTGGCACATACAGTGGTTCCTCAGTAAATATTTGTTGAATAAACAAATGTTTACAGACCCTTTAGGCTGCATAAAAGTTAGTGTCTGCTGTTGAGAACCTCTTTATTGCTAGTTTGAAGCTCATAAGTGATTCAAAATCTGGTGTGCATATTTGTGTTTTGTTGTTTTCCTTGTTCCCCTATCCTTACATTTCAAAGAGAGCTTTGTTGCTGACCCCTGTGAAATGCCATTCCAGCAGTTCAATCAGGTGGGCGTGCTGGAAATGTGCAGGGAAGCTGACATTCTAAGTCATGGGTTCTTAACCTGAAATCGTATGTGATCTGCAAGAAGTCATGAACTGCAAGAGTGAGAGGTGGTGACATTTCCTCTGTATTACTTTGAAAATGGTCTTTCATTTTCAAATGGATCTTTTCCAGTAACAATTTATATTATTATTTCACTTCACACTTGTAAGGTAGCAAAAGAAGTCAGGCATCTCTCCCAAAGTAGTGCAGCTAGTGACTTGACATTCATTTAACAAAAATTGTTTGACTGCTAAGTTGGAGGAATATATAGAGGATACATTTCTAAATTAGTATGTAAGGGGAAAATTCATAAATCAGCAGCAGGTAAAATTTTTCTTTCAAATACTATAAATTGCTTATAAAACAAAAAATAGTTGGTTTTGTGAATACATAGAAGTAGTGTATCTTATGCACATACAAGTTTGAGAAGTAGTAACTAAGCAAGATTAATGTAAAAAGCCAAAGGAACATTTCTTTATAGATGCCTGGACATTCAAACTGTTCTTCCATTGAACTATCTTTTAAATTTGTACTGGTGATTAGTGGAGGGCAGAAAATTCCAAAGTGCTATAGCTTGAAAAGCTCCATTCGGTCTTAGTATTAAACCTATTCACACACTGCTGCCTTTCATTATATGCTTTTTAATTCAGTTAGACTTTTTCAAACATGCTGATTGAATTTCTTAGATAAAAATACATTAAAATGCATATATGCCTCTACAACTTTATAATCTGTTAATAAATTTGTTGTAATGATTAAATAATCTCATCTTGGAGAGGTCTAGGAGAGGATAAAGCATTAGGAGTTGAAGTTTTTTTTATTATCAGACTTCAGTGTAGAAGATAAAATGTTTTTCCTATAACATTGTTACATTCTTAGGTAAGTCCAATGAAATACTATAACCATCATGCATCAATTATAAAATCTATAAGCAAGTGTGCAATAATACAGTATCACAGCCAATAGATACTGTGTTTTGAACACCTACTGTCTAATAACACTGACCTTGGTATTTTTTAAAAGGTCCCCAAGTAAAGTCTGTGTTTGCCCTGTGTTGAAATCTCATTTACTTTAGGTTCTGAAGCATTTGAGGACCATAATAAATGGAATATTTTTGAGAGAAGAACTGGGCGAGTGATTCAGAGAGAGAAAGAGAGAGTAGAAGAGTGTGTGTGTGTGTGTGTGTGTGTGTGTCTTTGTCTGTGTCTTTGTCTGTCTGTCTAGGCATAGGTGTGATTGCATGTAATGGGTACATACTGGATTCAGGGACCAGCTTGGAAGCTGTTGGTTGATATATGACTTGAGACTTGACTGGTTGTTGTATGAGGAAATTGGTAGTAAGCAGTAAGTCTGAGAAAGATTATAGAAAAAAGGAACATCAGGACTCAGTAATTTAGTTAACATGGATATTAAGGAGAAAAGAGAAAATACTGCCTTGCCTGAACTTGTAGGACAGAGATTAATTTTTCAAGGTGTCTAGATAAGCTAGGCTGTGTTCTGGAGTGACACAGAATATGTTCAATTTTTGTCATGTTAAATGTGTACTGATGATGACAGATAGAGTTTTATTATGAAAAAAGATATAAAACCCCAAATGACAGTGCTTGCAAATCTAAAGTTTATTGCGGGGAACAGGCATGATAATGCAACAGGATTAAATTAAGAATGCCCCCATCAAGGAATCTGGAGAGGCCAGCCTGAGTTTCAGTAACCCTTACTCTGTTAGGGCCACACCAATGACATTCAGAGCCAGCATATCTAAAGGGGGTCTCAGCCAGCTTGTTTCTTACACCCTGTTGGTTACACAGGCATTTTCTTGCCTGTACCTAGACCTAGTGCAAACCAGTAGTCTTAACTGTACCAATAAACACTGCTGACAAAGCTGGGATAAGCAGCACCGTTGTTAATGGGTACATTTCATTCCTTGACCAGAATGCCGTACAGCTGCATTTCTTAGTTCAGCAAAACGGCTCAGGCCAACCCCAGGTCTGATGAATTAACCTTGATGCAAGTGTTAACGGTCTTTTGGGATGTTCATGTGGGTTGTATCGTGTAGACTACTGCAAGTGTTGTAAACCCCATTTTTAGATACATGTGTAGCTATATTTGCAGGCATGTTCATTTTAGAACCTCTAAAAGAGGTTCTGGAAAAGGATTGTGGTGGTGGTATTCATTTTCCCTTTGCAATTAATGTACACTTCTAACTCTAAATTTGTTATGTTTAACCTTTACCATTTTTCAAAATCAAATTTGTACATTTTGTAAGAGGAAGCATTGCAAAGAGGCTTTGAGTTTATTGAGAGTGAATGACATGCTTTATATTTCAGAATCTTCTTGGAGTTTCTAATTGTCTTTTTTCCCCTTCCTCCTTCATCCCCCAGATGAATCAGCTCCTAAGGAAGTCAGCAGGGTAAGTAATGTGAATATAATGTATACTACCATAGTATAGGAAATGAGAAATATTTTTGTACATTTTCTCAGTACTCTAACATGTTAACGTATTAGAAAAATAATGACAAAAACTGAGTGCCTCCTTCAAAGTATCACTCATTAATATGGAATAAAGTCAGTAGAGAGGCTGCAAATTGGAGGCAGCCGTGGGCAGGGAGTGGAGGAGGAGGAAAAGAGTGATTGAAGAAGAGCTGGCACTTTGATCATTGTTGTCCTCTACCTGGAAGGCAACCCACCCAAAATGTCCAAGCTCTGGGATCACACAGATCCTCTGGGACTCACCAGCCCCTGTGGTCATTGCAGTCTGGGCCAGAGCTCGGAAATGTTTGTGTGGGAATTGAAAGGCTGAAGCTCCCTAGATTCTACGTGTTTCTTGGGGCAGAGGTTCTTTCCCATTTATTTTGTTCCCTTCAGGATGACTGACTACCGTGTCTTCCATCTTTTCCTGTTCTTTTGCTGCATGTTCTGGAACCACTCAGATTTATTCTCTGCATCATTAGCTTGAATTTCTGCAGCATAATTCTCTTCTGTACTGTTTCTCATTCTACTTAAATTGAAAATGCCTCTTTCCAATTAAAATTACTTCTGTATTTTTGGGTGCTTTTTCTTCATTTCAATCTGTGTTATGATCTCATTGATAATATCTTATTTGTTAATTTTTCTTTAATTTTTTGAGATTGCAAGGCAGATGCTTTCCTAAAATTTATTTTGCATATATTCTTCCTCCCACAACATCCAAAATTAGCTTTTATCCTGTGTATACTAGCATAATACTGACACTTTGGATATTTTTAGTAGGCTTTTTTCTTCTTTGTAAAATTTTGTTACATATGTGGAGGGGCCATTTGTTGATTTCTTTTTAAAATTTTTGTTTATCCTTCAATGATAAGTGTGCTATTCGTAGTTAGATTTTCCTTATCTCTGTTTACTTTTGTGCAGATATTCTTAGAATGCCCTTGCTAGATAGTGTGTTGAGAGGCTACATCTTGAGGTTCAGTGGCCAGTGCAGTCTGAAGTGACTGGGGAACCGGAGTTGTGGACATTCCCACAGGGGGAGTGGGTCGCTGTGACTTTTATCCAGTTTGATTGAAACAAATTCCAGATTTCATTGGCTTGTCTTCATTTTAACTTGGTCTGGTAAACAGTGTGACTGCATTGCATTCATTCTATTTAGTGTTTTTGCATGCCAAGTTTTAGAAAATATGCTCAGTTCTGTTAGTGAATCATGAAGTCTCCCTAGATTTCCATTCAGGCTGTTTCTAAATACAAGGCCCTGTTGAAGACAGCAGGAGTTCACATTCAGCTCTTAACTGTATAAAATGGGATCTTATGTCGTTGTTTTCCCCAGAATAATTTTATTTACTTTATGGAACAGTATCATTTTCATGGGAATGAGAAATTTTAACTAAGCTCTTAGTGACTCTTTTTAATTTGGCGTCATTGGTATCATGTCCATCAAAATTGTCTTAGAATTTATGATGTGTAGCAGTCATAATTGCCTAGTTTCATCACTAATTCAGCTTTCTTCTTGTTTTTACTTTGGTTGTTAGTAAAGTGAAGAGGCAGACTATCATAGGTTGTCAGCTTTAAAATACTCATTTTTCCTGGGACAGCCAGTCTTCTCTTCACATTTATAAAATATCTGCTACTGCATTTAAAAATATCTGAATTATTTAATTAAGACCTGTGACCATATATTCCACAGATTAATTTTACATTATGTAATAATCAGTTCTGCCATAGTAAGTGGTATTATCAGGAGGGCAGGAAGGTTTCAGTTGGGGCAAAAAGCCTTTAAAAAGCACCAACTACTATTCCTTTCAGTGTAAAAGAGGTTTGTTGATGATAGTGAGTTCCAGGGCACAGTGGAAGGACTTGATCAGCAGGAAGGGCGGAGTAGGAAGATGGATCAGGTTGATAGACATATGGAGTAGCGTGGGATGAGGGTCCAGAGGATTTTGTTCCATTTGTTACGGTTTGATTTTTCTATTGTGAGATGGAAGCAGGAAAAAACAGTAGCCTGAAAACATTTATAAACTCATTCACTCTCTTTTTCTGTTTCTTGTTTTTCTGTTTCCTTTTTAATGTTTCTCCTTCTCAATGTCAGAAATTAATTTACAATTTTTCATATAGAGTCCAGTTTTATTTGGTTGAAGTTATGTTGTTTTGTAATAGTAATGTTCAAAAGTTTAGAATGTAAGATGTATGTCTGAATTCTTATAAATATTAACAGTGGACTTGGGACCTCATTCAGCTTAATAAGAAGTTGAGTGAAATAGCCTTTTTTCTCTTCAAAATGTGTTTTACTACAGATTTGACCTGTGAGAGCAATGCTTGATTTTATACAAAAGGAAAAAAGTTTATATGAAAGGGAACATTATTTCTTTAAGGAATATTTAGATAATTTTACATAAATAATTTTCTCCCTGCTATTCAAATCCTTTGTATTTATTTGTATTATCTGTATTCTTTCTTCTTTTCAGTTTAACTTTTTTTTTTTGCTTAATCATTTTTTTCCTGAAGGATAGAATAGTAGAACTTTCTTAATTGGTGCCTGTTCTTACAATGCAGCTTAAGAACCTTCTGGCTGCATAAGATCTAGAGTAGGATGCTTTGTGGCTTCAACTCTTTTAAATGCATAATCTCTAAAAAAGTAAGAAGGAACACTGTAAAACTGCTGTTCCCGACCCCTGGGATTAGTACCTGTTAGGAAGGAGACCACACAGTAGTAGGTGACAGCTGCTCCCCATCACTCACATCACCGCCTGAGCTCTGCCTCCTGTCAGGTCAGCAGTGGCGTTAGATTCTCATAGGAGCACGAACCCTGCTGTAACCTGTGCATGTGAGGGTTGTGTATTCCTTATGAGAATCTAATGCCTGGGGATCTGAAGTGGAGCTGAGACAGTGATGGGGAGTGGCTACAAATACAGATTACCATTAGCAGAGAGGTTAACAATGTAATAATGCCAGGAATAAAGTGCACAATAAATGTAATGCACGTGGGTCATCCTAAAACCATCCCTCCCACCCCTCCCCACCCAGGTCTGTGGAAAAAAGTTTCCATGAAACCAGTCCCTGGTGCCAAAAAGGATCAGGACCACTGCTGTAAAAGACATTCCCCCAAATAAGAGGATTAACTTAATCATCCGTTTCATGTGATTTCAAATAAGACTTCAGCAACATCTGATTAGTTGTGATCATGATTATGCTCCATGACGAATCAAGAGTCATTGGATATAGAATTTAGAATTTCCAGAGTTTCTGTGTAAATCTATTTGAGAAATAATGTGGCATCATTACCTTAAATGAATGAATGACCTCTAAATTAAAAGTATCTGAGCCTTGTGGAAGTCATTAAACCACCCTCTGACTAGGTAATTATCTTGTAAGCATGTAATTTTTCTGTGAGTAGAATTTTCTTAGAGCAGATTGCAGTAATCTTAGAGAAAACATTCCTGATACATGTTTCTGGATGCCACCATTTCTTTAGTGATTATTATTTTATTTTTTCTATTAAATATGAGCTTTATTTGCTGATTGGGTGTACTGTTAGCCTTTGCTTGGTAACATAGGCTTGATGAGATTTCTTGACATGGAAGGTGTGGATTTTTTCCACCACTTGATCGTCAACCCCAACCTTGTTTCCATCACTCTTAATTATAGCCACTTCCGTGTTTATGAGAAGACTGAGACTGTCTGACATAAGCTCCTTTTGTTTTTGTTTTGCTAGTCTGTATATCAAAGTATCTCCATCTCCTCTCTCCTTATTTCTGCATCTGAGGTTGAGTATCACACCTTGCAAAGGCTGCTTTCAACACCTGTGCTTTAATCCTGGTCCCATATAGTGTTTGTCTAGACCTACTTGTATTCAGTAAAATCATTTATACTTGGATTTTTAAAAGATAAGACCTGTGTCTCTGAAGTATATTAAAATTGCTTTAATCCAGTAAATAATATCAGTTGGGAGTGTTTCCTTCTGGTTTCTTCTGCACATATGTACATGTACATAGCAGTAATTGCAATGCATATACTATTTTGATTTCTGTTTATTATACTGTAAACATTTTTATGTTTTTGTAGTCTGATATTATCTTTAATGATTAAAAATACTCCATTGAGTTTTTACTTGGTAATTTTCTGCTTTTTCATTCTATTGTGAGATGTTTAGATTGTGACTTTTTGTAGGCTGGTTTTATTTCTGTATATAGCAGTTTTATTCTTGTGAAATATTGCTTATGGAAAAATGCTAAGATCTGAGGTTACTAAGTCAAAGGACATGATTAATTTATGGCACTTAATGCACATTGCTGAGTTGATTTATCAATTTACAGTTCCACCTGGAAGTTTCATTTTAACCACATTAAAATTGCATTTATACATCTTCTCATGTATAAATGGCATGACATCATTTTAATATTTTTATTTAAAGCAAGTAAACATATTTACATATGCTAACTATATTTCCTTTTGTGTGAATGCATCTCTATGTCTGCTATGTGTGATGCATTTAAAAGAGCTTCTCTGATTTTTGTGTAAATCACACTTAAATTTGAATTCCTGCTTTGCTACTCTATTTGAATGACCTTTTGAAAAATAACTTTTTAAGGCCTCAAATGTAAAATGGAGATAAAGTCTACTAAATCTAAGAGATGTAGCCAAAATAAGATAAAAATTCGTGTTCTTATATTTATTTATTAGAAAACCAAAAACAAACTTAAAAAGTAGAGGGAATGAATTAATAAAATATGAGAAGAATTAATGGACCAAAGTTTAAAATATAGAGTTGATTAATAGTACAAGAAATATTTCCTTAAATAGATCAACAAAATAGATTATCTTTGGCAATCTATTCAACAAATAAGAAAATACAATTATTAGGCATGAGAAAGGGAATTTAAATATGGATAACAGGGAGATTATTATTAATAATTTCATAGGGAATACTATATACTAATACAG